GAGAAATTTAATGGTTTCAATCTGCCCTTGTTTTTTCTTTTTCTTTTTCTTTTTGCATGTTATCACTGTGCCCGTTTTTTGCTTTTATTCTTTGTTCCGCAAAGTGCGCTCTTTTAGTTTGTAGTGATGTGACAATATATATAAAACTCCGACGAAACAGTTTGTCACAGCCCCTCGTTTGTTGTCCTCTTCTCCCTCTCTGCCTACGGTTTACCGGGCAGTTCTATTTGACGATATATATATATATATATATATATATATATATATATCAGAATCGGTCTCACCCCGGCCCTCGTTGGCTTTCAAAATCTCCAAACAACTTTTTGGGGGGTGGGCCATGAACAACACCCCCCCCCAAAAAAAGAGAAAAAAAAAAAGAACCGGACCTACAGAACCGGACATCCAGACGCGGACGGTCCGGAATGGGATCCAGACATCCGGACGGTAACCATGTTTGATTTACTCATCTTTTGGTTGAGAGTTCTTCATGTGTTTATTGTCTTGTACGGTATGCTGCCGCTAAGTGCAAAAGAGATTTTGGCGTGGGTATAGTATCATTTGGCGTGGGTATTTGGATCATACTTCCACATTCCGACAAGCCCGACAAGCCTGACAGGCAAACATGTACCATTTTAAAGCAGGTGAGCGCTTAGAGCACCAGTACCTAAGGCAACCTGCCTGGTTACAAGGTGTCTTCAGGCGAAATTCGCTGACGTCGATGGTCTCAAAAATGTCAGATTTTTTATCCAATGGTGACAGGTGCCGAGTCTGCTTAATAAAAGAGGCTGCCCATTGCCCCGCTCAGCAACAGGACCTCCACAGCACTGGTCGTCTAAACCACGAGTGCCTAAAATCCCACCCAAACTAACAGGCTAATTGGATTCTTGATCCAACCATGATGGTTCGCACAGATCCTCTGGAACTCCAGCCCCCTGAGAAGCTGACGCTCAGCGGCAGTGCTTTGGAACAAAGGGTGGTTTAAGCCTTCATATGGGTAATCAAGACCAAGGTGGCATCGAAATTTGGAGTTCGGTCCAATTCCGACCTGATTTAACATGGCCTAGGGGAACAAGGCACACGCTTGTTGGATATCTGCATGGGTTAGCCAGTCAGAATGGCTGTTCTCTCTCGTCCAGCTTCTCTGTGCGTGGTTTACTAATAAATTCCCCTACCGGGTTTTAATACCGTTCTATAGTTCATGCAAGTTTGTCACGTCATTTGCAATTTTGCACTCTGGTGTGTGGAGTAGTTGAGAAAAGCGACGGATGCATTCTTTGCCAGAAATTGTGCAAATAGATCCAAAATTTTCAGATTATCATTACAAATACCTCAAGATCAGACTTGCTAAAGCAAGTAGACTTCAGTGCAAATCAGTTTCGATTTCCCAGGCAAATTTCCTTGAAGAGTAGGGAAAGGAGAAGAGAGAGGGCATCGTGATCGCATCCTGTCAGATGGATCCATCATCACCTTAGTCCGCTTTTCAACACTGTCTTCAACACTCCTCTGAACATCAAGACTGCTTGTACGGCTGCTGAAATTCATTGACAGCACCAAGAAACTCTCTCGTGAAAGGCTTGCCAAATATTTTTGAATAGTCACAGTTTTAGCCGTTCCGCTCTCACCAACAAAGAGTAAAGGTTTTCCTGTCTGAACCATTTCCAGTCAGATGCAGTCCAAGGATGACCAAGATACTTCAGATTAGGAAAGCGAAGGGTTTCCAACTTTTCATAGCATTTCCTGAGCAGGACAACGACTCAAGGATTATTTAACATTTCAGCAGGATGACCTAATCTGAAGTATATTGGTCATCCTTGGTCGTCCTTGGTCATCCAGTCAGATGCAGACCAAGGATGACCAAGATACTCACATTAGGAAAGCAACGGGTTTTCATAGCATTTCCTGAGCAGGACAACGACTCAAGAGTCAAGAATTATTAACATCACAGCAGGACGACCGCTCAATCAAAAATTGTTTAAGTTGCAGCACGATGACTGGCCACCCACAAGATGCCTTACTATTGCACCACTGAAGCCGAGGGTGATCTGTGCATGAATGCACCAACTATACCCACACCATGTGCTCATCAGTAGGGCCCTTCTCATACACCGCCCTTCTCCCACCAGATGCGTCAGAAGTGGGATGACTCCGAAGGTAGCACGCACTTGACTCTCACCAAGAGAGACCAACTTCTGATAAAGTAATGCACCATTCCTCAAACTACGAAGATATATGGATTTGGCTAGCGAGGGGCAAGGTCGCACATTCTCATGGCCTCCGTCTTAGGCGGAAGGAATGGCAGAACTCCGATATGGCAGTCACACATTTAAATTCCCAGGGATAAGAAACCCAGGATACCCAGGAAACTATTTGGATATAGCAGGGTGCCAGGAAACAGGAAGAAAAACGTCTCTCAGCACCAAGGACCTCCTCTACATCTCACCACCCTTCTCTCCCTGTGCGGTGCCTGCCCAGCTATCATGCTCGCCTCCCACCCAGCGCCACTGCTGGCACTGCAGCCCCCTCATGCACTATTGCCAGCACTGTTGCAGCCCGCGACCTGCCTGAATGATCTGCCTGTGCTGTAGACTGCCTTTTGTCTAGTGGACAGGGTTCCGTCTGGCTGTTAGGGAGTGCCTACCGGCCCAGTCTCCACTGGCCCAGGCAGTTGGCTGGATAGGTTTTCCAAGGGGCCGACCTGTCAAGCCTGCCTGCGCGTGTGGCCTCAGGCCTCACCCTAGTTCGAAAAAGAAAAAAGGCAAACGGAAAACCACATTATAGACCATATGGAGGGAAAAAGTGTGCCAAGATAATTGATGAGAAGAAGGGTGACCGGAAGGTTCCTTCGTCGTTGATTCTGAGGGTACCTGTAGGGTTTAGGCATTTAGGGGGTTTAGGGTTTAGGGTGAGAGAGTAGCTGTGACTTTCTTGGACACTTCGGAGCTCATTGAGACCGAAATTAGGTGCAAAATTGCAAATGGAAGAAAGTACAACAAGTCAACAGTAGATTACCTGCCAAGGAGAACTAATTGAAGGGTGGTTCCAGGAGATGATGGTTGACGACAAGTTTCAGACATTCCAAGGAAGTCATTTGTGGAGGAAGGATCGGGAGAACTCCCTGGATTCACTTATGCCTGCTCTGTTGCTACCGAGTTAGACCTTCCTTCGCTGCCAGTCAGTCTGACTCTGCCTTGACTTTGCAATGGACAAATTGGCATAACGACATGGGCTCTGCAGACCCAGCTCCAGACAGAGTTGAGCTCACTACCACCGAAGGAAGAACCTCCAAGACAAGGCTGGGAATGAAGAGACTGCACAAGCAGAAAGAAAAGGGCTTTTTGGCAAACAAAGCTGCAAACGACCCATGCCTACCATAAATTCATAATCGTGATTGATGTTAATGTGCAACCTGCCATTGTGAGTTGCAACCATAAGGCTGTTTCCTCATTGAAACAAAATGGAGTTCGACTGTTTGAGACTCCGAGCTATCAGGCTATAGTGGGACTCGCTGTTTTTCTGCACCTTTTTGCTATGCGTTCTTTCTCTACACACAGCAGACATACTGACCATTTGTAGCCTGGATTCACTGCAGTATGGGCCATCTTGACCCCTATCTTTGTGAAAATAACCAACATGGCCGCACCCATCTAACTTGAAGGTATACATCATACTTGCAGCGCACCTATGCGGTGCGGTGCGGTGCGCCGCACGCCGTGCGCTCATGACTGATGCAGGTGGACGTGCGCACCACGCGCACTGCGGCCACATGGGCAGTGCGCAGGGGTACGCACGACTGGCCTCCATGCGCACACAGTGCGCCGCACACTGTTCGGTCTGGCTTTTTCTTGTGTGTGTGTGTGTGTGCGTGTGTGTGTGTGTGTGTGTGTGTGTGTGTGTGTGTGTGTGTGTGTGTGTGTGTGTGTGTGTGTTAGATTTTCCCCACAACAGCCCCAATTCCACCCAGGTGAATAGATTCAGAATCAAAGCAGTCTTTGTCCTATTGCAGACAATGAGAGCATTTGAGATGTCCAACATATTAAAGCAATTTTATAATTAGACAGTTTTTTGGTTGCCCTTGGGGTACCCCTTTCATTGTTCTTGCAGCTCCCATTTTACTGTGCCTCTTACGCACAAGGCTGCCCACGTTGATTGTGGTTGAGCGGCAGCTGCCCACATCCTCGTGTGCCTGTGTGCATGTGTGTGTGTGCTGAATTCGGGAGGCCGTCGTGTTTTCTTTTTCTTTCTCGATTCCTGAGGAAGGACGACGGCCTTGAGATATCGTCATTAAACTACCAGCCCATTGGTGACCCGACTACAGATGGACCTGGATGTATATGACCGCAATTACCCCATTAATAAGTGGAAAAGTCCTAATGTGAGCAAGGCTGTGACCCCGACATGTGCAGACTGAGAATGAATCTTTCCGTCAGAACATGGGAAGATACACCGCATACTTTTTGTCTTTTGCGGATGTGGTGAGAAGTCGACTGAGGCCCTATAACGGGCATCGAACTCAGGCCCGTTATAATTCTGACAGATGTCATCTGTCAGACGCCCACAGACAAAACTAACTGTGGTGTATCTATCCATGTTCTCGCTCAGATTCATTTTGCACATTTGGTGAGTGATAGAGCGAGGCATTTACCTGTCGGATTCTGGCAGAGAACCTACCCTCACCACCGGTTCTGGCGGCAGATAAGGGCCTCACGCCACTACTCACCACATGCACGAAAGGCAAAAAATATGGCAGTGTATCTTTCCATGTTCTAGCGGAAGATTCATTCTCATTTTGCATATGAAGTGCATAGTGGAGGGAGGCCCGTAAGTCGAAATAGCCGCTCACTGTACCCTCATCATGACTGTACGGGACTCAAAAGGACAGCAATATGGCAGGKGTATCTTCCCACGGTCGTTCTTTGGATACATCCTTGTTTTGCACACAATCTCTTCTTTTTTCTTCTTTAGCAAAAATAAGGAGGGAAACCGGTTGTCCGTTTTGTTGCTTTCCATTTTGAGAATAACCAGAGAGCAAACCAACTGTTCTGCAGAGCAGGGCGCTTCGGAATCCTCATCATGACTGTATCGCGCCTCTGAAAAGCCCCAGATAGTGGCAGCTACATAGAAGACAGCACAGACACGACCACGAAGACATACAACACACAAAGATAGTTTTGGGTCCAGACCGCGGCCCCCCCAATAGAATTGCCCCGCCCATCTCTCAGTTTTCACTGGGCAGGGAATCTTCAATATAGCACCCTCGACTTTTTTCTTTTTTCTTTTTCGGTGACCCTGATTTTCTCCCTTGAGGTACATCGAGTGCGCGCCGCGTGCGCAATGCGCATTGTGCCGCATGTGCGGGACTGGCACGCACGCGATACGCTGCAAGTATGGTATACATATATGCATAAGTGAGGTAATAATACAATAATATCGACAACCATTTATTTCTGAAGAAGCGGGAAAAAAGACTTACCTTAACAATAGTGTCCAGTATCCAGGTTGTCCTGACTGTGTCAATAGTTGGCACGAGAATGTTCGAGAACTTCCCGTCCGCTGGTGGCTGCATACTCCAAACACAACAGGAAGTGAAGTATATCAATTTGCCATCCAATTTGATAAGGGATCAGTCAACAGGGGCTGCTGCGACTGATTGTGGCCATAACTAATTCAAGCTCCTGATCTTTAATCCCAATAACTGAAATGCAGCTGTAGAGAGGGGCAAGTCATATGCACAACCACACATCCCCTCCGTGTGTGAAAAGAAAACGAAGAAGAGAAAAGAGAAAAGTCACATACAATCCACCCACCTTGTCCCAAGCTGGGAATTTGTCAATGCATTCCTCTCCGAAGGCCCAAACTCACTGAGAATGACAGCTGCAACCTTAACCACCACCACCTCTGCGCCTCCTCTTCCTGTGGTGGATTTCCACAGCAAGCCAAAAAAAAAAAGACAAAAAAAAGAGCCGCCACCATGGGCACGATTTTGCTTTGTTTTGGCTGGCGGCACAAGCCATTTTGGTTCCGTAGCACTGTTCATCCGAAACTTGTTCGCACAGACTTCAGCAGCTTGAAGTTCAACACCAGCATTCACACATGGTCCCGTAGCACTGTTCATCCGGAACTTGAAGACTCCCAAGCTACAGGCGCGGCGCGAATGAGTCAGCTGCCGAAACAGCTTCACCATGATACAGTGAAGACTTGCTCCAGCAATATCTGACGCAGTCTGACTTTCAAAGTGATTACGAAGCTCTTAGCATATGTCATGATGCACTAACCTTTTTGTCCTACTTTTAAACGTGGTATCGATTGTTTTTCTTTTATTTCATTTTTTTCATTTTGTCAATTTTTAGGCCAGACAGCATAACACATTGTACGCTGACCTGCATAAGATTTTCAGATCCTGCAATTTGAAGCGGGAAATTACAAATACGAGTAGATGGTGTTATTGTAGGTATAATCAGGTAGAACGTGGATGCCTTCATTACAGACTAAGTGGCGGAGAAGGTAGTCTGTGGCATAGCTCTGTTGCGCCTCTCATACGATGTGGTTACGCTACATATAAAATCTCAAGCTACATTGTTTATTGTGTATAATGATACGATAATCTCAAGAAATAATATTGGAAAAAGGGTAATTGCAGAAATAGCACGTTTTCAAAGTTTCCCAGCGGAAATGTTATCGGGGTCCGAAAGATGTATTTTTGCAACGAAAGTGGGACCCTGCCCCCAAATATTTTCGCTGTGAAACTACGGGGTCCTGTAAAGCTGCAACGAAAGATGCACTTTTGCAACGAAACTCGAGCCCTGCCACTATTTTTTGCTTTGAAACTACAACGAACGCGCTATTTTTAAAACTTACCCTATCGGAAAATCAAAGCAAGTGTTTTGGGAATTCAGTTCGCAATAGACCAGTCCTTGAGGACTTCCGTTATACATCGTAACAAATGAAGCTTGAGCTTCAGTGACAACTCCACAACTAAGTCTGTGCCTAAGTCACTCCCTCATCCAATTGAAGGCAGACATTCACAAAGCATGATTTTGTAGGGAGTCCAATAATGAAAGCACTGTTCTTGAATCATTGATAAGTAATACCAAACTTAGTCTCATGTCCCAAGAGCAAATGAAAAATCAGTCAAATGAACTTAAATGAAGTTAAATCACAATTCAACTCTCTCTCTCTCTCTCTCTCTCTCTCTCTCTCTCTCTCTCTCTCTCTCTCTCTCTCTCTTCCCCCCCACTCTGAATTTCAGTGAGTCATTAAATGAAAGCTCCCAGTTGTGTTTATGGGACTCGCCAATGCCAGTCAAACTCCGTCAATATCATCCTCAAACAAGGGAAGCACCAATCAGTTTCAGCCCTTCAAGGTCAGAGCCAGGCCAGTACCGTCAATGTACCGCCCCAATATTTTTTATCACCATTTTCTGCGATGACTGCCAACCATGAATGTGTCTCTACCACCAACCAAATCTCTCTCATCTTGCCCTATCTCACCTCTCTCCTTCTCTACTGCCTAGCAACCGGTTTTGGCTGGCACTCGCTGGAGTCAAGCTGCTGCTGGATCTGAATCTGAGTGGCTGCACCAGGGAAATTTTGTAAATGCAATACACAGCTTAGATGCGTCGTTTTTCGATGGCTGATATTATTTATCTAAGTGCGTTCCGGATGGCTGAGATCTTTGATCTGGAGTAATAAATACCCTCCATTGGACATGTAACAGCATGTCACAGTGCTGCATTTGGTAATCTCCTTACCTGATACTCGCTGACCAGAGCCTTCCAAGGGCGCCAGCGAAGGTCATGAATGTCAAAAAAGAAATCGAACAAAGACTTTCCGGGAATTTGGCCAGGTGGAACAGCATCTGCCTCACTGAAGCTGAGTTCTGTAACATTCCTCAGAAATTTATCGAAACGGTCACGATCTTGGATAGAGCTGGACTGCACCACTGCTGCGCCGATTGACCAAACAACACAGAAAATGTACACAGCTTCCATTGTCTGCACACATGATCCAACCACAAGGTGGTAGTGAATGTTACGATCCTGGCCAATTTTAAAGTACAAATTCACGAGAAAGCACAATGCCGACCAATTGCAAAAAGAAATGAATGAACTTGAGAGGAGAAAGAGAGAGAAAGAAGAAGAAGAGGAAGAAAGAAAGAAGAAGAAGAGGAAGAAAGAAAGAAGAAGAAGAGGAAGAAAGAAAGAAGAAGAAGACGAAGAAAGAAAGAAGAAGATGACCAAACACTTCTTTTCCAGAATAAAGGCAAACAACAGATCCAGCTCAATACAGGGTCTTAAAGGGCTGACAGGCCAACAGTCAACTCGCACAGATAGTGAATGGATGCTAGAGATCGCAAAGAACTTTTATAACGAACTGTATCGATCTAAAACACCAACAGTCACCCCCTCCAATACCCGAGCGGCAAGGTCAAAAATGTTACAATACCTAGAAAGGACAATATCTGAAGATCAAGCTAACAAATTGGATCGACCGTTATCCATAGAAGAGCTACAGTTCGCGGTCCAGAACATGAACAACAATAAGACCCCAGCCATCGACGGACTAACAAAGGAATTTTGGGATAAATTTTGGCCCCTAATGGGTTCGAACCTTATGGATTTCTACAACGACAGTTGGGAGAAAGAGGGTATGGGCGAATTCCTCAGTACCAGTGTGGTTATACTTCTTTACAAGAAGGGTGACCGGGAAGACATCAAGAATTACAGACCAATATCCCTACTCACACTTCCCTATAAAATTCTTGCCAAGGCCCTAGCCTTCCACATATTGGACGTAACAGACAAATGCTTCCACATAGACCAGTCGGGTTTCATACCAGGCAGGTACATCCTTGACAATGTAATGACCCTCAACGAGGCATCCAAGAAAGTGATGGAGAAAAAGATCAGCACAACGATTCTTTTCTTCGATTTTGAAAAGGCCTACGATCAGGTAAATTGGGACTTCCTCGAAGCGAGTATGGAAAAAATGGGGGTAGGTCCCAACTTMAGAAAATGGGTCCGAATCCTATACAACAACGCCTCAGGYTGTGTTCAAATCAATGGTTTGCTGTCCGAAGGCTACCCTATMTCTAGATCAGTMAGACAGGGYGATCCGTTAGCACCGCCTATTTTCCTATTCGTTATGGAAGCCATAGCTTCTTTTCTCCGTAAAGACCCATCTATCCAAAGATTGCCTGAAATGAATGTGGGCTCCGCACACCACGTCGTATTTCCTACAGTAATCATGTTTGCACATGATTTAACGGTGTTGATACGACCCTCCAACTCGTCATCGGCAGCCTTAGTCAGAGCAATGGAAGCATTCAGACTGGCATCAGAAATGAAGATAAATTGGGTAAAGACGATAGGATGGTGGTTGTCTGACGAACCCGTCCCACTACTTCAAGGACCGGAGAACCAGATGTCCTGGGAGAGACCGGAGATACCAACAAGATACCTGGGGATCCAAGTGACAAAGGACGGCCCCGCCCCYCARATGGCACAGAATCTCCTASCCGGTCAAATCAACAAAATGGGGAAGTGGAGTCAATCATTTACGTCACTACTGGGTAGGGCACTTACCATTAACACTTCCATCTTCTCAATGATGTGGTACATAGCTTCAATCTGGACTATACCAGACCAGCCCATCAAAGATCTGAACAAGAAAGCCAGAGCATACTTATGGTCAGGGAACCCCAACAAAGAAAACTACATTCCAAAGATAGCTTGGCACTATATCACAAGAAAACCAACAGAAGGGGGATTAGGCATTATTGACCCCAAACAAGAAACGAAAGCCCTGCAAATTAAGTGGGCCATTAAGCTTCTGACTAAACAAGCACTGCCGTGGAACAAACTAGCACTAGACAGCATCAGGAACCTGGCTCCAACAGAGTCCCCCACTAACATGTCCAGATTGTTCTGGATCATGAATAAAGACTGGAATCCAAGATCAGGGAGGAGAAGACTCAATACTCGCACCCCCCCAACTCCTAACCAAGCACCTCCCCCCTATTGGTCAGCCCTTCTACGCATCTGGAGAGAGATCATGCCCGAGAAACGAAACAAACCCAGGTCCAAAGAAGAAGTGCTCAGGCAACCTCTCTTTGGCAACCCCTGGATCAGGGACGAGGGAGACCACCCGTGGACTCTCTCCCACAGAGGCAACAGATGGCTATCTTGGATCACACATGGGATCTTGCCAGTAGGGGACATATGGAACGACGAAAGGAAGAACTGGCTGGACGAAAATGAGCTCAAAGCCCGTCTGAAAGGCTGCCACCACAGGGATGAAAATCTGCAAAAGATTATACAGAGCATCCCGGGGGGCTGGGTTGAGCTGCTGAAGGAGGAATTCACGTGGAAAGCGGGTGAGTGGGGAATCCCAATACAGGACACCTCCCCTGAGAGGGCCTACCAATTATCCCATCGAATATCTGGCTCAAATCCAAGAGATGTATTCACATCCTTCCCGATAGTGAAGACTAAGCCAGACAAACCGTACATCCAGAATATCAATCCCGAAAGAGAAGTTCTGAATGCGTTCACGCTTCGTAAAATAAGAACATTAGGACTCTGGCCAAAACAGATATTTCAAATAGGAACAGCAATTCAAGACCTCGAGTTCGATCCCTCAGAATGGGCATGGCCCTCTGACAGAAACAGAACTACAAAACCACCAATCCCAATATCTGATTATACAGTTAAACTGGGGTATAAAATGTTGTTGAAAACAAAAGACCCAGACCCAATAATCAAAGGAAGATGGTGCAAGCTAATTGGTTCTGAGGCAGACCAGATAGCAAAAATTCCTTGGAAGAAATATAAAACGATAAGACCCATAAAAATCAGAAGCATGCAGTGGCTCATAACATACGTGGCACTACCGGTCAACCAGTGGCTACATGTGAGAAGGAAAAAGAACAATCCAACCAGCTCGGGTGTCTGCACAGTCTGCTCAGACCAGGAACAGGAAGATTTGATACACTGCCTAATTAACTGTAAAGAAGCCACAGATTATTGGGCAAGAGCAGCAGCCCTTTGGGACAGTCTTTTCCCATCTCCCCTCCCGCAACACCCCCTCCAACTGCTCCTCTGGACTAATTTACCCTCTAATTTTGGTAAGCCAGAGAAAGTCTGGTTCGGGTTGATACGCAAGGTCACGCTATGGGCCATATGGAAAGAGAGATGCAGCAGAACTCTGGACAACACGAAGAACCCGTGGGAGAAAGTATGGGCAGCGACCAAAGAGATGATTGAAGCAGAAATCCGCTGTCATTGGAGGAAGGTCAAACTGTGGGTGCAGAACAATCCAGAG